CTGCCCCCCAGACGAGGCCCTCGACCCACGGCCAGCCTGGGCTCCTGCTCTTTGGCCGAGACACCACCTGGGAGGGCAGATTCCGGCCAGGGGAGGGCACGTTCCTCCTGCACCGCCCCTCGCTGGGGGTGACTGCACCTCCCAGGACAGCCGCCGGGCTCGACTCCCTTCTCCCGGGCTGGCTTAGCTTGCCCAGCCTCATGCCCAGTGGCCGGGGGCCTCCATCGCTCACTGGGTGTGGACACCCGGCCCTCGGCTCCGGCCTGGCTCCTGTGGGGAGGAGGTGCAGGCACCCCCCCTGCACCCTCCCCGCCCAGGGGCCTCTGGACTTGAGCTGGGTGCTGGTGGGCACAGCCTGGAGGGCTTCCTGGAGGAACGGGGAGCAGGGCCCCACACAGGGAGGGCCTGAGTGTCCACTCCGTTGGCAAGGGCCCGGACTTCTCTCTCCCTGTGGGCAGCAGCCCAGCAAGACTGTGCTCTCGGGAGCTGCACTTGTTTGGTGCCCCCGCAGAGGCGGTGGAGGAGGGGTGCTCAGCCAGAGCAGTGGAAGGGCCGGGGTATAGGGCACAGAGCTGGGGGCTGGGGAGAGGCCTCCTGGAGGCATGCAGTGCCCAGCACAGGTAGGGCAGGCCTTTGCAGGAACAGTGTGTCATCCAGGTAGGGACCTGTTGGGTTTAGGTGACCGAGGGGGGAGCAGTATTCTAGAGGTGGTGGAATAGAGGGGCTCCAGGCCCCCCAGGGCTAGGAGGCCTGGAAGGAACGCAGCCAGGGGCACAGGGTAGGGAGGTAGGACAGGGAGAAAGGTGCAGAGGGCACCCCAGGACTGCACAAGATCGCAGGGAAGGAGAAACAGGACCCGTGGTCCCCAAGATGCCCACAGGGTCCCTGAGGTCCAAGGAGATGGAGCAGCTGGCCTGAGCAGGCGGTTGGAGGTGGGTCCCAGGAGAGCTTAAGCCATGGCCAGCCCAGGGCAGGCTTCAAACTTCCCGTCTGCAGGGCTGGATGCAAGGGGACTGGGGTGCCCGGGAGTGGGGAAGGGAGGGAGGGCAGTACCTGGAGGGCGCTGGGCAGCATTTCTGAGGGGCTGGCCAGGGCAGCCAGCAGAGCCGTGGTGGTAGTGCCAATGTTGGAGCCCAGTAAGAGGGGGTACGCCCGCTCCAGGCTGATCACCCCGACCCCTGGAGGAGCCAGAGGTCACCACGGGGCCCTGAGCCCACGCCCCCACGCCCCACGGCTGGGTGCCTGCCCACCAGGCTCACCCATGAGCGGCACAATAGCTGCTGTGAAGACACTGCTGCTCTGGAGCACGAAGGTCATGCCAGCGCCCACCAGGATGGCCAGGTAGCCGCTGAGCCAACCGAACGGGAAGGGGAAGTCTGGGGGGAAAACCGGGTCAGCCCCGGCCCAGCCTCTCCACCCTAGCCCACACCCCAGGCCGTGCCCCGTGCCCCAGCACACCAGCGTTGATGACCGTCCTCACAGCCTGGGCGATGCGGCCACGGAGCATGGAGTTAAGCAGCTTCACGATGAGGACCAGGCAGGTGCAGAGAACAAGCAGGGAGCCGGCCAGCAGGATGAAGCCCACGGCCAGGTCTGTGAGCCCGGTGCCCATGAACAGGTGGTGGCCTGCAGCAGGGCAGGGCGGGTGAGCGGTGGAGCCGTGGTGCT